GGTGGTTCAGAAGGTGTTACAGATCAGGATTTAGTAAATATTCCTTTAAAAAATACGAATGGAGTAAGGATATTAGTTTTATCAATAAAATGATTTGTTATATGTATAAAAGAATATTTTTAGAATAAAGCAATCTATTTCATTCGAAGATCTATTGTACCAACTGGTCATCAAACATCAACTCATCAATTTAATAATGAATAAAATGAAATGTGTTTTTTATTTTCGTTTATAAATATATTATATATTAATTTGTATAGAGAAATTCTTTTTTATTATAAATATTTATTAATAAATTAACAGATAAACAAGAATCTAAAATTAGATGTATTGTCTTATTTCAGTAAAAGTTAAATATATAATAAAGCGATATTTCTATTAAAGTTTAATAATGTCCGATTGTAGAAAATAAATACAAAGAAACTTGATAACATCGATTGTTATATGTTCATTTGAAATGAGATCAAAATGTTCGACATATTAATAAAATAATCTCTAAATGAATGGAAACTGAATACAAAAATTCGAGTTTTGTATTAAATTAAATATTGATACAATACATAGTACGATCAAATTAAATTTTAATTGTAAAAAACTTCATTCTATTGCTGAATTATGAATAGGACTTATTTTCTTTGCTCTACTTTTTAGAAATAATCGATAAATAAAGAGAAAAATTAAGATGAGTTTCGATCTTCAAATAAATCTAAATCTTAAACAGCCATATGTTATGTTCGTATCTTCTCGATCATTTGTTGTTTTTACTTAATGTAAGAAATAACTTTTATTTTAACATGTGTTTCTAATTTTATACTGAAAGAGAAACATAATCAATCAAACTTTCATAAAAGATATAGTCTCAGGTGGATGTACTATTAGAAATTTGAGATTACAAAAGATTAATACTTTTTAAAAAAACAATATAAACGAATCTTATTATTTACTCACCGAACTTCTCATTCTTTAGTAAATATACAAACTTGAAACCGTTCTTTTTCTGAATAGATGTTTTAAGTATTCACTTTTTTTTTCTTGAAAACTAAACATCGATTGAATAGTAATGCTTCTTTGATAATCATTACCTAAATCGATATTCTGTAATTGTAGAAGCCTTTCCGACAAAAATATCTACTTGTAAACAATAAACGAATCTAATCAAAAATATTTACATGAACTTTAATGGTTCAAAAATTTAGCTAAACACTAAATAGATTCTCTAAAAAAACAAAATCTTCGTATTAATCCGTTAACGTTTTCTTTATTTTCATAGTAAAAAAGAAAAATTGTGAGAAGTAGGTGAATAATGTAAAAAATTTTAACAATAAGAACGAAATTTTTTTTCTCCACTTCTGTTGCTCATGCAGTTCTCATATGTAAACATGATTAACTACCCACAATACTAAAAAAATTGTCAGGAATAGTGCGTGTGCGGGGCGACGTTGAAGTTAATAACAACAAACAAAAAGAAGCAGCTGAATATTTTTTGCATAATTTTCTATTAGAAATCGATGTGTAGAATTGTCACAAGAAGTAATCGTGATAGTTAACTTGTCATCTATCGCTTTGTTATAAAAGAACATCAACCATATTATATTTCCAGATAGGAATCAAACGTTGATATTCCAGTAAAATTTTAACAATCAATTAATATGTATCCACAATATGCAACATCGTCAAGTCCATCCCGAAAGGTTGTTGTTGTACGTAATACAGCAAATCCTCAATATCCCATGGACAATTCTGAAATGTATCAAAGTGGTGTACGTATATTATTTATAGAACAATTTTTTGATTCTATATCAATAAGAATATTTTAGAATAGACCGGTTTATGTTTCACGGTATCCTACAGGCGCAAATAGATCGTCGATGATATTAACTCCTACTCGTTCACCAGTAACATATTATGATAATTCACAAGTTTACCCATCAAATACAATACGTACATATAATCAACCAGCTCCAATTACAGGTTAATATTCTGATAAATATCATTTTTTTCAAACTATGATGTTATTTTATTTGATTAAATAGTCCCTAGCGATGATGATGTAGGCTGTTTTTCATGTTGCTCAGACTTATGGGCTCCTGATTCAGAATATCCAACATCTTCGCATGTAATACGAAATGGATCATCGGGACCTTATTCTCAATATATGAACTCAAGTGAAGTGGTATATATATATAATAAATTTATAATAAAAAAAAATATTTCGTATAATTTTTTATAGAATTATGTATCAACACGCGATAAGACAATGTCAGGTTGCTCACGACGAGTGGTTGATTACTTATCAAGATATATGTGTTTAATCATAGCCGCGTGTATCATTATTCTTTTAATCGCTATAGCCGATATTGTTGTTTGTGCTGTTTTTCTTTCTATCAGTAAAATTATTTATTTTCATATTTTCATATTTTATTTCTTTTATAATTATAGATCCATCAACATATGCTAATCTTAAAATAGCTGGCATTGCAATAGGTAGCATTTTAATCGGAATCATTGTAATTTTCTTAACGTTTCTATTATGTTGTGTTGGTAACCGTGATGGATTTTTTTCATACTTTGGTAACGTCAACATATTGGTGGTCAAGTTTATGCACTTATGCCTCCACCGAATAATCAACAATATACACATACAGTTGCAAGTAATTATCCAGTAGGAGCAAATCCTTCTAATATAATATATCCAAATCAAACATATGGAGCAAACAAAGGTAATGTTGTTATTGAATTACCTGATAATGTTGCAGGAAGAAATATGACACCCAAAACACGTGAACGTAATATAAATAAAGTTGTTCAAAACTTAGGTCAAGTTGTTGAAGATGCAAAAAGACGAAATAATGGAGCAATGCCAAATAATCTCGTTGTCAAAGTTGCATAATATATTATCAAAGAATCTTTTTTTCCTAATTTAAATATGTATTTTTTTTTTCATTTTTCAAAGATTTGGAAATATATTTTCTATTTATTATTATACACATAAAGATTTAGTGTTTTCATTATATATATATATTTTATCTAATAAGAAAGAATTCAATCGATTTCTTTTATTTTTGTGAATAGACATTCTTCTCATTGAACAATATTTGTATATACCAAGTACTACGTACTTATAAATTGATTCAAATTTAACTAGTCTTATGAGAAATAAAAATTTGTTTGTTTATATAAAGAATTCCTTTTGAATTGTTTATATGAATTAAAAATTTCATCTTTCTTTTTTTTTTCTTTCTCAATTTATAGTTGAACATTTGTTATTATTGTTCTTATGAAGTGTATTAAATTGATCATTGCAATGGATATGTAGCATATAAATATAGAAAAAGAAGAGTGATAGACAAGTGTTCAAGTGTGTGTAATCGAGCGGCAGATTCGTTTGTTGATCTTGAGGGGTATATGTATGTCGGTTAGCCAGAGGGTTCACTAACAAGATGGCCAAGTATGTCACAGCAATTTCTAATCGAATTCAATTTGTCTCTCTATTAAGCTTATGTACAGCTATTTTTTTTATAAGTTTTTTTTTATTTAACTACATATATATATAGTTTTACTTGTATTCATAAATGAGACCAATTAGAGCAAAAGAAAAGGCTTATTGTATAGTAAGTGAATGAATAAGAGACACATTCGGTGAACACACAATTGCTATTATTATCAATCTCGATGTTGTTTTATGATGAAGAGAATAGAGAAATTTTTTTTTGTATCAGACATTAGTTGAAAACTAGTCTAAGATGCTGCTGCTGCTTCTTTCTTTTTTTTTAATCATATGTTGTCATAGTATTCCGGTTTACTTGTTTAAAATGAATAAACCATCATTGTATACGCTTGCCTGTTCTTCTTTCCGTTAAAAGTCAATGTAACGTAATCATTAAATATCAGCAAAAAGAGAAAATTTCCTCACCTCTATCTCTCGTATTCATTTATAGTTAAAATATTAATTATTTTTGCCGATAGATATGTATGTGTTTCTTTGAATATTTGATCATTTTCTTTTTTTCTCTTAAATGTGATGACAAACAATCATTTGCTAAACATAATAAACTTTGATTCCGATCGGAAATGATCGAGATATTGAGTCTTTTCTCTATTTAACAATTGATTGCGAAAAAAAGAAAAAAAAGAATAATACTTCTTTTTTACTATTTAACAAAAGAAAGAGTCTAATGTATATATTTCTTTAAATTATCGTTTCTAATCTATCACAATCGTCGTCTATTGACACACATCATGTGTCTAGATTGCTGAGAAAACGGGTCATCTGGAGTAAAAGAAGAAGAAAAAAAGAAGGGAAATGAACTTTTCAACGGCAAATCATGTGTATTCATAAGACATATAAAAATCTCCTGCTGTGTCGGAAAAATAAATGAACAATTATTTTCATCTTGATGTAACCGCTAAGATTTATCCGAGTATCTCTCTCTCTTAAATTAATCAATTGTAAATATATTTCATAAGATTGTTCTTTAATTTTAAGATATATATATATATATATATGTATAGAAAAAAGAAGTGATTACTTAAAAACGTGGTTCAAAATTATTATTATTGGTGTCCGATGATAATTTTGTAGGTAGAAGTGCTTGTGGTCTATGAAGACCAAAATGATGTTCATTTAAAGAATTATTTGATGATACACTTGATGATGGAGATGTTGCAACAGCTGCTGCAGCTAAACTAGCTGATAACATTGTACTATATGGATAATGTGTTGAAAATGCAGCTGCATATGCAAGTGGATTATAAGCAAATGTTGCTGGGGAAAAATCGGTTAATTTACCAGTTGGATATGGATAAAGTGATGATGTTGTTGTTTGTGGAGATAACATTGAACGACATTTTTCAAGATTAAGTGCTAATGATTCATTAAATTGTTGTTGAATACTTGCTGAATTTGTTAAATCATTTGAATCTTTAGTTGTTGATAATGGACCAAATGTAAATGGATATGAATCTTTTTTTATTAAAGATTTTGGTTTACGTCTTGGACGATATTTATAATCCGGATGTTCTTTCATATGTAATGAACGTAAACGTTTAGCTTCATCAATAAATGGTCGTTTTTGTTCATCATTTAATAATTTCCAATCAATACCTAAACGACGACTTATTTCACTGTTATGCATTTTAGGATTTTCTTGAGCCATTTTTCGTCGTTGACCACGAGACCAAACCATAAATGCATTCATTGGTCGTTTTATATGTTCATTTAATGGTAAATTCGAATTTGATGATTTATTTACCATATTCATAATTGGATGAGGATGAAATAGATTAGCTAAAAGATAAGAAAAATAAAAATAAAAATAAAAAGTAATTGTTTCTTTTTTTTTTTATAAAAAAAAGAAAAGTATTTTTATACTTACACATCATGTTTGAATATCTAAGAATCGTTTTTCTTATCTTATATACAATAGAGGAATTGATAAAAGCCTATTATATTATTCGACAAGCGAAGAAGAAAAATAGTTTTTTTTTCTCTCTTAGTCTCTCTATGTATATACAAAGCGAAACATAATGACTTGAACTATGTGCTGTGCACACTAATAGAAGAAGAGGAGGCCTTTTTTTGTCGTCCTCGTCAATGCTCAAGAAAGTGTTATTCAAATAGAGACAGCCAAGTGGAAGAGAGAATGAGCAAGTAATAATAATAATAGTAGTAATAATAAAAAGAATAATAACAACAGCTACCAACTATTTTTTCCCTCCAATCGAAATTGAAGAATATAAACGAACAAGAAAAAAAAAGAATAAGAAAATTAAAAATCGTCATTGGCCATTCATGGCGTTTCTTTCCGCTTTTTTCTTTTCTTTTTCTTTTATTCTATTCTATTCTGTTGCTCGTTCGGAAGCGAGAAAAAATGGCAGCGCCCAACAACAAAACGATTACAATACGCATCTATTGGTCTTTGAATAAGCAAAAAAAAGAAAGAACAATTGAGAGTATATGTTATAATAAAAGTTTACATCAACCGTACTCTTGAATAGTGAATAGCGCATAAGAAAAAAAAGTTGAGAATATAATAATCGAATGTATACATTGATTATTATTTTGTTTCGTTTACTTAAATAACATCATACAAGCGTAGATAAATTTACAATTTATTCTTTTTTATTAATAACACATTTCTTTTCTTTTTGTTGCATTTAATATATTCGATAAAAATTCAAAATCTAGTTATATTGAAAAATTATAATAACAATTATGATATTTTTTCATTTACAGATCTTGTTATTCTTTTGATTTAACTTGTACAGATACTTTTTCTTTATTAGTACAAAATTACAATACGTTTGTTAAGAAAGACATAGAAAATGAAGACGACGAATTGAACGGAAGTAAGCATCGAAGACGTCTAGCAACGGAAGCGACTTATTTAGCATCGACAAAGAAATTACAGTTCTCTAGTTTTTTTTAGCTTCTTCTTCTTCAATGAAGAACAAGAATAATAGAATAATCATACAGCCCGGACGCACACACACGCATGTATGTGTTGTTTGTCTGTCCATATTAGTGAGCTCAACGGCTCACCAATTACGGGTCTATTCACTGGTCGATGATCTTGTAAAAAAAAAAGAAAGAGAAGAGAAATAAAATGAAGATGATGATGCGAGCCAGAGAACGTGACGATATGTATGTATGGCTGTAATCAAATTGCATTTGGACACACAGCTTCAGGCTGTTGTAATTGGTTTGAAGAGTATGGATAGAGAAATGACGACTGTTAGTAATCATGAATGAAGATGATTGATTATTATTATTGCTTCTTCTTTTTTTAAGCCTCTAGGGGTATTACATTGATACTTCTCGTTTTAGTTTATATTCATTGGTCTCTTATGTCAACATAGAAATATAAACAAAACTTTTCAATAAAAAAAAAAGAACATTTTAAATATGTGTTTATTCTTTAATCTGTTATTCAAGTAGCTTACTCATATGTTGAGAAAATTTAACTTCATCTTACTTCATGTACTAGTTAATCCATATAGAAAGCATTTCGTTTAAGATCATTAGTTAGGTTTCTATTTACTTTTTGCTACATAAATAAGAAAAAGAAAGATTAGACGAGAGAAAATTTGACACCTGATGATTTACATTTTATTGAGAATGTTTAAAATAAAACGAATATGATTAGATATGCGTGAATGAATATTTACATGTTTGAATGATAATTATTGAAATCTTAAGAATAGGTATATTACAATTGATTATGCAATGATTGATTTTTTTCTAAACATAAAAAAATGAAATCAATCGTGAATGATCAATTCAATTTAACTATAAGTAAAAAAAAAAATCTGTCGATTTAGTAAAAGATTGAACATTGTAAATGGGTCTGTTGATAATTGATTGATGAAGTGAATCATTTTTTTCTTCACAAGTACATAAATTCACATTGCACTTTATTACTAATACAATAAAATATAATCTTACGAATGCAATGAACTATTGCATTGTAATCGATTTGTACGTAATAAAAACAAAAAAAATTTCTATTGACATTCGAAAAATTTGTATGGCATCTTATATTTTTGTGTTTTTGTTTCAATGTACGTGTTCGTTTATATCAATGCTATAGAGATCTGTTTTTTACATCAGAGTAATAAAAGACAAAATTATTAAATGATTAGTTTGTTTTAATACGGTCATTTCAAGTTAGTTGTAAAGAGTGATCAGAAATTTTTGACAATGAAATCAAAAGAAGGCTGGTAACATAGTTTTCTTCAAGAACTTGTATATGTTCTATTCAAAAATAGGATATTAGCATTCATTAGGTGTTTATAAAGATTAAATAAAAACACCAAAAAGAACGATATATCTATATAATATCAGATTAAAAATTAATTCCTCTAAATACAAAAGCTTTTGATTACAACTTG